ATCTTGTAAAAGAAACTATTTTATTTACCTTTGTTTCCCCTTCTGTGCTTCAGAACTGTTTAAGTATTATAGTACATATGCGAGCCCCCAGGCCTTTCACAGCCCTGTGCCCCTAATACATATTCCAAATGAAAGTACTTTTCTCGTCTCCCTCCCTCCCCTCTAAGTAAAGCTTTATCCTGCTATCCTCACAAATTGGAATTCTGTGCAAGGTTTCCAGGGGCCTCGTCCAGTCAGACAGCGATTAGTACTATTCTTACTTTCATCTCCCTGACTACCTGCACCAACCTTGTCTTCTCTCCCTCCAGTGTTATTGTCAAAGGTATTTTTTTCCACCCACGCTTTCCCCACCCTCGTAGCAAACAAAGAATGTGTTATGGAAGGGGAGTTACAGACTTAGGAGGGGAAGGTTTCAAAGTTCAGTTCTAAAACAGCCTGGTGAGAGCTTGTTAGGTACCTGCTCATCATCACCTGTCCTGGGTCAGAGCTCCCTGCTCCACTGCCTTTTGCTTTTGTCAATCAGACAAGCCTGGTTCTGCTCCCCAGTGTCAGAGGGTTGAGAGGCAGTAGGAGCTTGTCTGTGCTGCCTCAGAGGTGCCAGAGGTAGCAGGAGACCCAATCAATTTCCCACTTACATTTTCATTTCTAATAAATGATAAGTATCCTTAATTTGGATATTTGTGAGTGCTATTAAAACACTGCCTCAAAATATCCACGTTCTTAGGTAAAGTGAGTACCTTGTCTCTCCTACTTAATATTCATATTGAATTATACATTCTGTGTCTTACTAATAGTGAAGATAAGGTCTCTTACGCTTTTCTCTAAGGGGACCAAAAGTAATTTTAAGGACAACATCAAACCAGGAATGCGTTTACTTCCCTGAACTATATATGAGTAACAGCATTTGGAGGCAGAGTGAGAGGAAATGAAAGAAGGGATAAGATTTATTGAGTACCTGCTGGGCGTGGTAGCTCACACCTGTAATTCCAGAACTTTGGGGGGTGAGGTAGGAGAATTACAAGTCTAAGCCCAGGCTGAGCAACTTAGTGAGTGACTTAGTGAGATCTTTCTCAAAATTAAAAAAAAAAAAAAAAATAGAAGGATCTGGAGATGTAGCTCAGTGTGAAGGTCCTAGGTTCAATCTGCAGTACTGCAGGGCGAAAAAATGATTTGTTGAATACCACTGTGTGCAGGGGAATTATACAAGGCAGTGGGCAAAGTACTGAAATGGCTATATACCCCAAACAGTGAGGTAGGCCTTCCCTTTTACCATTAAGGAGACCTAGGCCCAAGATCACGGAGCTGAGGTCAGAGGCAAGATTCAAATCTGGTCCTGGTCTTGCGTTACAAATCACAAGTATTAGAAATCCTTTAGGATTCAAATCAAGAGGTGACTGATGCTGATTTTTTTTCATGGGAGAATTTATAGCAATTGTTAGCGTGCATATCCTCCAAAGGATGTTAGAAATCAGAAAATGTTATTGTTTTAGGGCTTCTCTTCCTGCCTTTCTCCCAGTTAAAGTTTCTTTATTGTGTAAACAGAGTTGAACAATTTAAGAGTGAGGCTCCTTCCCCCTGTGGCAGATGTCTCCCAGACTGTATTCTCCCACCTACAGAATCTGTTGCCCTCCTAAAACACAAAATTTCACTAATTACTTTTTTTCCTTGGCAAGGGCAGCATTCTGTTAACAAAATGGCTCACACAGTCTTCTTAAAACTTCATTGCAAAGGAAATGAAACTATTAAAAGGCCGTTCCTCTGTAATTCAGGAAATTGAATCAGCTTATTTGGAGCCATAAGCAGAGGAAGACTGGAGCTGTAGTGAGCCACATGATGTGACACTAAGCAGTGCTGTGCTCTGAAGGACTCTGCCATGCAAAGGAATCACACACTGTCTCTTTACAAGACCACATAATTCTTCAAATGCTTGCTTTTCTTTACCTCCTGAAAGTACAATTTTTATGTAAGATGAGAAATGCTTTGATATTAGTATTTGGAGTGATTTTTTAATCTTCTATTTAGCTTTTCATTTCAGTTCATATAATATTTGTGAAAATACAGTGTTTAGTAAATAAGGGATATACTATGGACAAGTTTCCCAGTATCCCTAAATTATTAAGCTTGGCTGATAAATATATGAAGGTTCATTATATTATTGCTTCTACTGCCAGTATATATTTTAAGTTTTCCTTAATAAACAATATAAAATACTTTTGTAATTAATTCACATTCTGTATGTTCTTCTGGGTTCACCCAGAGAATCTAGTGTTTTCGTGCTCCACCCACTAATTTAAAATGCCAGTCAAATTTAGACACCTAGAGGAGAAAAGAAAAAGAAGGATTGGACCTAACAGCTCTGATATGCTCCTATGATATGAATAGACACACTCATATTTTAGATTCTAAATTGCTGTTAAAACAGAAATATTGCTGCAGACTACAAAAGAAATGACACTCTTGTGTTTTGGTGTATTTTTCCTAAAGCTAAGTAATCTACTTTGAAATCCTCATCACCAGAATTTTAAGAAGGTTCAGTAGCAGTGATTAAAGGTCCTCTTCTTTTGAAGAAAATGTGCCTTTTCCAAAACACTTTTCTAAAACACTTAGAAGCCTTCCTAGAAGAGCTCTGCCCCAGACCCGAGGCCAGTAGTGGTGAACCTCAGGTGAGCATGGTACAGTAGGCCCTAGAGACTCTCTGTTGGCAGGTGAGCCAGGTTGCCCCAGCAGCAGAACATCAGGTAACAGTAGTGTTTTCTAAACCAAAACCTCAACATTCAGGTTTAATTGCAGCATTCGCACTTTGTGATTAATAAGTGGGTTTGGGGCTGCAGTTTGAACACTTGGTCTCTAAAAGTTTCCCCATCACTGTCCTCGCTATGCCTAATCACTAAGCAGCTGAAATGAGGCTGGTGCAGCTGAAGAACACATGGAAATGATAACATTATATATACAGCGGTTTGTCTGTCTATTAATTGAAGTGGGGGGGGGGGTTCCTCACTGTTGGCCCAGTCTGATCTCAAACTTGTGGAGTCCAAGTGATCCTCCCACATCAGCCTACCAAAATGATGAAACTGCAGGCATGTACCACCTTGCCTGGTTTTTACCAGGTTTTTTATTTTAATAAAATAAAATATGTTATTAAGGCCTGCCAAGTGTGAGGTCATGAGTTTGATTCCCAGTATCCCTAAAAAATATATAATTATTATTAAAAGTTGGGAAGGCAAGGGGGATAGAGGGAATAAAAGAAATCAAAATGCAGTATGTATATATATCAAATCCCCAAACTGAATCTGATAACTATGTATCACAAACATTTACTAATAAAATAAAATTTAAAATTAATTTCACAACCAGGCATAGTAACACATGCCTGTAATTCCTGCACCTTGGAGGGGCTGAGGCAGGAGAATCAAGTTCAAGCCCAGCCTTAACTAAGCAATTCAGTGAGAGCCTGTCTCAAAATTAAAAACAAAAAAGACCTAGCTCAGTAAAAAGGGCCTGGGTTTAAATCCCACTGCCACCAAAAGTAAAATAAAAAGTTAGATTCATTTATTTGATTTTTAACTTTTTAAAGTATAGCTAGTAAAATATAAGATTATATACATGCCTTCATATTTTTATTTCTTTCTTTTTTTTTAAGCAATACTAGGAATTTTACCCAGTGCCTTTGTGCCTGGCTATATCCTCAACTCCTTTTGAGACAAGGTCTTACTAAACTGGCTAAGTGACCTAGACAAGGCTCAAACTTCCTCTGTCAGTGTTTCAGCATGCTGGAATCACAGGCATGTACCACCGTGCCAACTTCATATTATATTTCAAGTGGACGGTGCCACTGTAGAGTTTATGAAAAGGTAACTTAGGTTTGGCTATTCGCTTCTGACCAGTGTCCAGACCATAAAGTTAGATGTTAGCTGCAAAAAAAAATTCCATTTATAACCAAGGGACAACCCCAAAAGGTTTGATTTTATCACTCTGTGGACAATTTAATAACTTATAAAAATTTAATAATTTACCAAAAAATGGTGGATTTCATTTATGTTTTATTTTCCTTTACAGTTTATATTTATCTCTAATGGTTGTACCAAATAGAATCTTGTTAAGTTAAAAATTAGGTTATGTTAGTTTCTGGCAGTTCTGTAACCCTTCCTGTCCTCAAAAAGCTGATTAGTCCTGTTGGTCAAAAGATACAATAGCCATAAACTTAAGTACTCTGATCTATTTCCTTTACTTGAAATTATGTAGCATTGACTTGTCTTGGTTCCCTAAAAGACATGGAAAGGAAAGTAAAAATATGGAATGATGCTGATACTTAGTAACAACTGTTTTCTTTCACTTTATCTGCTCATGAGTTTGTGTAGTAAAGGCAGAGAAACTATGATATTTTCAAAGTTGAGACTATCCCCGAAGACAACGATACCGAGGTCCTCATTTCCAGCACCAACCCCAACAGAAATGCTTCACCCTGTACTGTGGGGCTAGAGCCATTCTTTCTGCATCCAGCCACAAGGAAAAAGAGTTGTTTCTGTTTGGGTTTTGAAATGTATTCCTCATTAAAGCAGCAGGAACCATTTGACAGTAGCTGTGCTACTGTTTTCCAGTAGCACAGGACCACTGTTTGGAGCCTCCCGGAACATGTGCTCTACTGACCCTTTTGAAAATGCACTTGAGATGGAATAACAAATAGGAACAGGCTATGTTGTCCATCTGGCTATGTTTTGCTTATCTGTTTGCCCACATTATCAGCTCACTACTGAAACTAGAAGACAAAACAAGGCAGCAATAAATGACAGAGCAAAAGACCAGGTTTAAACTCCAAATCTCTTAGGTACTAAAATAAATTAAAAAGTACTAAAGAGCCGCAGTGTTGGCAGAAGAGAACATGTAGACAAGCAAAGAGGAAGTTCCTGTCTCTTTATCCCTAGCCCTTTGTCTTTAGTGTCTAGAGATTTGGAGAACTGTTGTGACTGTGAATTATTAGGCATGATGTTTTATTTTGTTAGGTTGGAATGAAATACAGAAACCTGATCCTGAAACCTGGGGGATCTCTGGACGGCATGGAAATGCTCCAGAATTTCTTGAAACGTGAGCCAAACCAAAAAGCGTTCCTAATGAGTCGAGGCCTGCATGCTCCGTGAGCTGGAATCTTTGGTAGCCGTCCATGTCTGGAGGACAAGTCGACATCACCATGTGTTGCTGGTCTGGAAACTGAAGGGAGTTTTTTGCAAATGAACACTTAGATTTCTATTGACTGCCTTTTGTTTTTCAATTTTAAAAACTATACAGATGTAAAAGAAATTGTAAATACTGTGGCCTAAGAAAAGACCCACTAAAAAATGATTATACTATAAAATTCCATAAAAATGGATTTGATTTCTTTTGATAAAAGTTTCCTATGAATGTAATTTGATTTTTTACTATTATAATCTAGATAATATAATGTAAGAGGGCTCAGAATTTTTAAATTGAATCACATACATGATATAATTTGATCCTTCTTATATCTTGAAGTTTTGTACTTGGGATTTCACAGTCCACTGGTAAATATTTTCTTGCAGCCCTGTGTCAACTTTGATCTTCTGTCCTGCAGTAAGCTGTGACCTCTCTTTCACCTGCATACCTCAAGGTCAGAAGTATGTGCCTCAGTAGTGTGTTTGTATACCAGGCAGGCCTCGTGACCCCAGCTTTCAGCCATGCTTAAATCATATTCCTCTTTTTGAGGTTTTTTTTGTTTTTATTCCCTGAAGTTCAGTTACAGGGTACCAAAGGTTTTCGTTTGCTTTTGTTTTTTGTAGCTTTAACTGAACTAGCCTAAGGTATATTGCAAGTCTTTGTATCGTGTATTAAAGGATTTGTGTTACAGACACAATTCTACTTCAGCATACAAAATTGTCTGTCTGATGTAGCTGCCAATTAGACCACTAAAGTAAGCCCAGGTGTCTTTTTTGATTCTCATTTCTAATAAGAGGTAATGATTGCCTATTTTATAACCACCTCCCACAAAATGTCTTAAAATGCCACAGCAAGAGAGTTGACACTAATGTGGACTATTTTATATGAAGAGTTCAGAAATTCCAGAAGAGAAGCCAGGCATAATGGTACTATGCTTGTAATCTTAGTATTGGAGAAGCTGAAGCAGGGAGATTACCATGAGTTTGAGGCTAACCTGGGCTACACAGTGAGTTCAAGACCGTAGTGGAGATTACATAGTGAGATTCTGTCTCAAAAGTAAAATAATAATGATGATAATAATAATAATCCAGAAGAGTAGATTCAGGCAGAGTTTAGGACAGCTGTCCAAACTGTTATGTATATGCTGAAACCCACCTCTGGGCAGAGGCTCATCAATAACCTATTTTATCTGGTTATTTTTATTTGAAGTGAACCTTTGGACCTCTCTTTAACCCTCTTAACTCTGGGCCTAAATTCCAAGTCTGCAGCATACCAGTAAATTCACAGTACTTATTTTTTCTGTAGGAGGAAACCAAGACAGGATAATTTTAAAAATAAATTTTTATAAGCTTTGTTTTCATTGCTAGAGATAGAACCCAGGGCCTTGTGCATGCTAGTCATTGCTCTACCCTAGTTACACCCCTAGACCCTCCAAAAAGTAAACATATACTACATTGTTCTCCCAGTAGTTTGCCAAGACACACCTGAGGTATAACTTTGCTGGCCAGGAACAAAATTATAAACCTTTCTATGATTTAGTCCAAATGGACTTTGTACTGAATAAAATTTTATTACATTGGATAATAAAATTAGAGACAGCAATGAAAACAAGAGCTATGGAAACATAAATGGAATTCCAAGGTGATTAATGTCCAGCAGATACCCTAAACATCAACATGAAATCCTACCCATCCTTTCAAGACAAGTTACCTGGGCCTTCTCCCTCCCACACCTAATTCCATGTAACTGTCCCCAAAGCCGTGTCTGTGATGAGTTCCCCTGCCCTGATTTGTTTTCTACTCTCCAATTAAAAAAAAAGAAAAAACTCTCTTCAGCTTTTTGTGTTGCCTATGTGTGTTCTTTGTGATAACTGGTATTTCAGTCTTGTTTTGTATGGAAACTAAAAATTAGTGTGTAAAAGTCACATTATTGTTCACCAGAATGAACTCACATTTCTTTCACATATTAATGTTAAAACTGAAAGGCATAGAAGAGCAAAAGCACAACAATATTCTTTCTTATTTAGACCATCTCTTATAGTTAAAACCTACCAAAGAACCACAGTGCAATCAAATACTCATTTAAAAGGTATTCACTAACATAATTCAAAAATAATGACTTTTGAAACTCTTAAGTGTAGCTATTTGTTGGCTTCTTCTTTCTCCCCCATCAGAACACAAAGTTATCACTGAGATACTCTATGCTAGTCAGCTTATATACCTGAGAATAATAATTTTAAGTAGGAAAGATTTCTCTTTGGCTCGATTTGTCAATTTTCAGTCCAAGGTCGACTGGCTGTATTGCTTTTAAGCCTGTGGTACCGAAGCATCCTGACGGAAGAGCATGTTAAGGAAAAAGAGGACCAGATACAGTTCCTAAGGCCCACCCCCCACCCGGTACCCTGGAACCTGCTCCTCTATTGGACTCTACCTCCAGTTTCCGTCCCTCCAATAATGCTGTCAAATTGTGATCTCATCAATGCATTAGCCCACCTAATAAAGTTAGAACCCCCAGGATCCAATCACTTCCCCAAAAACCCATCAGCTTCAGCACCTGAGTTTGGGGAATATTTCAAATCCAATTATAACACTATAAATGGAAGATAACCATAAAAATTGTAAGGGGCTGAGGATTTAGCTCAGCGGCATAAGCACCTGCTTTGCAAGTAGGTGGTCATAAGTTCAATCCCTGGTACCGATTAAAAAAAAAAAAAAGCAAAAAAATAAGTTGTAAGTGGACAAACATGCTTCAGATTTACGGATTTATAAGGAAGTTCCACTAGAGGCAGGCATGGTGGCACATGCCTGTAATCTCAGCACTTGGGAGGCTGAGGCAAGAGGATCATAGCAAGTTCGAAACCAGTCTAGGCTACATAGTAAGCTCAAGGCCAGCTTGAACTTTATAGTGAAACCCTGCCTCAAAAAGACAAGGGGAAAAAAAAAGTCCCTCTAGATTAGTCAGATGATTTAAGCCTATTTTAGTTTGATTTTGTTTCATTTTTTTTTTCCAGCATCATTTATTATATTGCTAAGGGCAGGTCTTAAAACATCTTTTTGCTAGTGTATAGTAGGCATGATTCCTTAAAAGTTTGGTTTTAAGATACTACAGAGAAGAAAAATAAAATCCTGATGTTATACCACCTGAAATACATTTTCCCCCTCTATTAATAAACACTATTGCATGTTCCCTATGATGGTGATGAATTATCACCTGAGCTACTTAGATCAAAGTCTTGCCTTTTTTTTTATTTTTATTTTTATCGGTACCAGGGATCAAACTCACGACTGCCTGCTTATAAGGCAGGCGCTTATGCCACTGAGCTAAATCCCCAGCCCCTAAAGTCTTGCCTTTCTAAGCAAGGGAGTGGAAGATGGGTATTTGTTGCTCTGTAGACAAGAAATTGCATTGTAGGAGACCAAACTGAGAGAAAAGCAGCTCTTGAAAGAAAAATTACTGATGTGGTTTTTGTACTTGCAAATGCCTTAACTTAGCAGGGGATGATTCTTCTACTTTGCCATTTTGCCTTTCGCTTTTGTGTGTGCATTAAAGGTTGATGGAGAGCCTGCCTCCCCAATGGATCAGCTGCTTTGTGTATGACTTTTTCACTCCTGTTATACTCAAGTAAAGTTTTCCATATTCAAGAAAATTGCATTAAAAAGTACATTAAAATATTGTTTTAGTTTTTCTTGCTAAAACAAAATACCACAGACTGGGTGGCTTCAAAAGCAGGTATTTAAAAGCCAGGTGCAGGAGTGGTTGCCTATAGTTCCAGCTACTCGGAAGGCTAAGGTGCGAAGATCTTTTGAACCTGGGAGTTACAGGCCAGCTTAGGAAACATAATGAAAACCCCCTCGCTCCCCAACTTCTTTTTGGGTTTTTTGTTTGGCTGGTTTTTGGTTTTGTTTTTTTTTTGTTGTTGTTGTTGTTTTTGGTTTTTTTTTTTTTTTGGTACTGAGAGCAACTTTGAAATTACACACATTTGATTGCTAGATAAAAAATGTAAAACTTTACTCGATAGTGGTACTTAAGGAAGTGAATGCAAAAACTTTTAAAAGTGTACTGAAGCCAGGCTTGGTGGTGCACTCCTGTAATCCCAGCATTTGGGAGGCTTAGACAGGAGGATCATTGTGAGTTCAAGACCAGCCTGGCCCACAAAGTGAGTTCAAGGCCAGAACGATCTGCATAGTGAGACCCTGTCTCAAAAAGACAACAACAAAAAAAAGTATATTGACAGGCTGGAAGTATAGCTCAGTGGTAGAACACCTGAAAGATATATTGGGGGAAGTATGTGTCCAGGTTACAAACTTAATCCTCTGGACTCCAGGGCGGTTAGGATCAATCACAGTTGATTATTCATCTGTGTGTTCATCAGACTTCAGCAAGGACAAGATGATCCCTTTCAAGATATTTTGAGATAAACATACACAAGAATGAAGGAGTTCAGTCTGGAGAATGAATTCAGAAGTACAAATAATTGTTTTCAAATAATTGGACAATATGGGAGAGAAAATTGGCTAATTTCTGACTTCAGACCTCAGAGCTTAGATACACAGTTGGAAAAAAGGCTTTGTTTCACTATGTAATGATTATTGTTGATTAGGAATACATTGTATGGCTATTAACAAGTATTCTTAAATAGCTTATTGCTTCCAGGTGTGTTGCCAAGGAGAATCCTCCTTTGAGTAGCTATTGGTGTCAGGTCAGCTTTGAGGTTTCCTTATACGATGTTCATCTGAAAAACATCATTCAGTGAAATGTTCACAGGCTGAGTCTTAGGAATGGTGTTAACATGGTTGCAGCTCCTTCTTTCCACCAGGAGAGCCTTCACAGTTTAGTAAGTGTTGTCTTAATCATCTGTAGAGAGCCAGTGCTCATCCGGAGGTTTGCAGTCTCCTCGTGGATAATCTGGGAATGGTGGTAGGAGACTAACAGCCATATATGACTAGGATAATGTTCTTTTTTTAAAATTGTTTTTTCCAAATCCATTTTATTCAGAATAATGTTGTTTTGGATATAGGTTCATTTTCTTCCCTTCAGGAATTTACAATTGCTCTCTGCTCATCCCACCCACTACTGTCTTCATCACTCATACACAAAGGCAAAATTTTGATTCATTTTGTGTCTCAGGATCCCCTCCATCGTACTGTGATCTCCCTGAGTCATGTCTGTCTCCTGTCCTCCATAGCCCTTGATCGCTAGAGCCTAGTTAATAAAAGTTAATACATACACCTTGTTTAAAATTACTTATTGCTCCGGCCATGGAGATACACATCTGTAACCCCAAAACACTTTGAAGCAGAAAAAACACTGTTGAGACCAGTTTGGGCTACATTAGGAGTCCAAGGACAGCCTGGATAACATAGTAGGAACTGGTCTCAAAAAAAAAATAAAAAATTTTGCTATAAAATTTTACTATAAAATGCATTTTTCTACAGTAACTGCAGAGTATCTGATTAATAGGTGAGTCTGAAACTATAGGGATGAGGATATAGCTTAATCTTAGTGGTACAGCACTTGCCAGCATATATGAAGCCATATTCAATCCCTAGCACCACAAAAAAATTTTTTAAAAGTGATATAAATTCTGTTCACCCAAGCCAGGGGAAGGTTTTTGCATGAAAAAGGCCCTTTCCTTACAAAATTTCTACATGAAGATGAAAGAAGCATGATTTTTTGGTACCAGGGAAGAAACTCATGACCTTGCACTTGCCAGGCAAGCACTTATGCCACTGAGCTAAATCCCCAGCCCATGATTTTTGTAAGGAAAAAAAATGAAAGTCAGGTATACATCCCTATAATCCCAGCACTCTGGAAGGCTGAAACAGGAGAATCACAAATTTGAGCCCAACCTGGGCAATTTAGCAACTTAGCTAAATCCTGTCTCAAAAAGGGATAGGGATGTAGCTCAGGGTAAAGGCCCTGGATTCAATCCTGAGTGCTAAAATAAAATAGAGATTGAGTACTTCACAAAGATTTCTCCATTCTCTCTTGATTATACATTCTAAGTTTAGGGGATTTGAGGACATTTTGTGGTGCTAGGGACCAAGCCAGTGCTTCATATATACTAGCCAAGCCCTCTTCCAGTGAGGTGTGTCCCCAACCTCTAAATCTAGGAATTTCTAAATCTAGAATTTCTGGTTTGCTTCAAGGTCTAAAAAGTGCAGAAAGGGCCAGTGTCCCAAGATTTCCTGGAAATAACTAAATTTGTTTGTATATGTGATATCTTAGTTACTTTCTTGTCACTGGGACACAACACCCACATTTACAGGAAGAAATGTTTATTTTGGCTCAGTCTGTACAGGTGTCAGTTCACAGCTGCCTCCCAGTTAGGGTGGCATGGCACAGAGAGTTATTCTTTGTACGGCGGACAAGATGCAGATCAAGGGAGGAGAAAGGGAGCTAGACCTTTCCAAGACATACCTGCTGCTGACCCACTTCTTTGACCAAGATATACCACTCAACATGTTTAGCAATAAATTTAACAGTGGACTAATCCACTAATAAATTTCACACCCCCATGATCCAGTCACTTTCCCTGAGCTTGTGAGGCTTTGGGGGGACACCTAGATAAAAACCATAACATAGATATATGCATTTTTCCGGGGAAAAGTGTGCCTTACTTTAGTCAGGAAAAACAATAACAAAAAACACTGTCTTAACTTGCTTTTCAACTTGCTTTGGAACCCAATTTGGAGACTTAGGTACCTATTAGGTTTCAGGCACTTTGCCTGCCACTGTTTATACAAAAAAATAACAATGCTAAACTCTAGCTGCTCACCATAAAGTGGAGAAGCCAAGTAATAATACAGTGAGATAAGTTACCGTAGGAAGGTA